CCAAAGGCTGCTGAGGGGACTGTGAGGAGGACTGCGGGGAGGGAGACGCTACCTGACGCGCGACCGAGGGTAGAGGGGTAGCGTGGGACACACCAGACGGGGCAGGACCTGGGGGGGGCGGGGGTACCGGAGGAGCGGGAGCAGGAGGAGGAGAGGGTGCGAGGAAGAGAGGGGGAGGGGGTACCGGGAGACCTCGACAGGGGTACCGGGTGTAGTAGGACACGGACTCGTCAAACCGGACGTCACGGGAGTCTAGGAACTGGTGGAGGGGAGGGTGGTAAAAGGACCAGTCAGCAGAGTCCACTGGGAAACCAAGGAAGACACATGGGACGGCGCGTGCCGAGAGCTTGTCCGCGGAGGTGTCGCGAACAAGTGCAAGGCAGCCCCAGACTCAAAAGGCCGACCCAACACCAGGGGATCCAGTCCAAAGACTGGTCGGTGAAGCCTCGGGCCGCGAGACACGCGGCTGGAGGTTCAGCTGGTGTGCGGCGTAGCGAACCGCGTGGGGCCACAGAAAATGGGGCGCACGGGCATGAATCATGGACGTGCGGGCGATGTCCATGACCAAGCCTATGCGGCGCTCAGCAACCCCATTCTGCTGTGGGGACTCTGGCAGCGTCCAGGACTGGGTGATGCCCTGTTCGCCGCAGAATCCGCCGAGAATGCCGGAGCGAAACTCGCCCCCACGGTCGGAGTGAAGACAACTGACTCGACGACCACGAGTGCCCTCAGTGGCTAGAAGCCACCTGATCAGCGTAGCAGTCACCTCGGACTTCTTCGCAAGAGGGAACACTGTGGTGTACCTGGAGAAGTCGTCGACGACCACCAGAAAGTAACGCTCCCTCCCAGACCCCTGCGTCGGGGCAGGGCCCCAGACGTCCAAGTGGAGAGTCTCGAAGGGAGCGGTGGCCGGACGAAGGGAGGAGGAGTGGGGAGTGGCGCGTAAGCGACCGGCGACGCACGGAGAGCAAGGAGGGGCAAGCGAGAGAGGGAGCGACGGGAAGGTGCGTGGGAGACCTGTGACTAGTCCCTGACTGAGCATGCCACGAAGGCGAGGGATCGACGGGTGGCCAAGACGGTGGTGCCACAGGACGGTGCGGTGGGCGAGAGAGCGACAGGAGCAAGACGCAGCGACTGGACTGGACACAGCGACCGGACTGGACACGACTACCTGGCTAGACACAGCAACTGGACTGGGGACCTGAGCCGGAGGGGACGCAACAACCTGAGGGGAGGACGCGACCGGGGAGCGCTCGGTGTGGAGAACGTAGAGACCGGAGCGGGGCTCCCTGGTGAACGTGGCCAGAACAGCACCTGTGGTAGCGTCAGTACAGACTGCAGTCCGCCCCCCCCCCACAAAGGTAACGGTGATCCCCCTGTCCTGGAGGTATCCAACACCCACCAAGTTCCGAGTGAACGAGGGGATGTGGAGGCCGCGCAAGACACCAGAGGGGACCACAGGGCACGGGAGGGTGGTGGAGCTGTGCGCAACGGCTGGTCCTGAAGAAGGATCAGCCAAAGCTACCGGAACCGGAGCAAGAAGTGGTGTGAGGGTCGTGTGGTCGCGGAAGAAACACTGCGACGCGCCAGAGTCCAGCGTGAACGACAGAGACGCCTCAGCCGGAAGCGTGTCAGGTCCGGAGGCTACACAAGCACCTAGAGCAGAAACACAAGCACCTAGACTAGAGAGGCACAGGTCTACACTAACAGGAGGCAAGCATCCTAGACTACGAACACGCGAGCACACAAATCCATCAGCACTATAGTCAACATCAGCATACAAAGCATACTGACGAGCATCGTCCATAGACAGTTCAAATACAGGAATCTTACGGGCTAGCAGGCGAGCCCAGCGCGGGATGGTCGCCTCAGGACCCCAGCGTGCACGGTAGAGGTCGTCGAGGCGGCGGAAGCACCGCGCTGCAGAGTGGTCGTCGCGGCCGCAGACACAGGGACTGCCAGGTCCGGTGACGCACCAGTGGTCGCAGGGGCCGGTGTCGCGCCGCGGGGGGCGAGGGGCCCAGCTCGTAGTGCTGCTGCTGCGGCCAGTGCTCCCGGGTCCTCCAGGTCCCCACTGTGGCAGAGGGCCCCAGTGCTGCTGCGGACCCCACTGCAGTGGGGGTCCCCATGTCTGAAACTGCTGTGGTGCCTGCCACTGCTGCTGTCCCTGGTGCAGCTGCTGTCTCTGCTGTGGCTGCTGCTGCTGTGGCTGCTGCTGCTGGGGCCCCGCACCACCGCTGGTCGAACCTCCTCCAGCAGGTGGGTCAGCACCTCCTCCAGAGCTCCCTCCACCTGGGGCAACACCGCCACCACTGCCGCCCCCAGGGCCGCCTCCACCACCGCCACCTCCTCCACCGCCGCCACCCCCCTTCCCCCCTTTCTTGCCCCCCTTGCCCCGTTTCTGCCTGTCAGCGGCAGAAACAGCTGCAGTGTCCTCAGAAACCGACACAGCAGCAGAGGCACGTGTAGCAGTGAAGGTAGGAAGCTGGGGGACAGCACACCCCTCAAACAAACGAGGGGCAACTGCGTCAGTGGCTGAGGCAACAGAGAGGAGGTTACTCTCGATCTTCCCGAGAGTGGTCTCGAGAAGATCAATCGTAAGCTCACTGGGGTGATGCTGGAGAAGTGCGTCACGGGCAGTGGAGAGGCGGTCAGGGAGACGAGTGACTACCCAGTGGACTGTGAGCCAAATAGGAGGAGGAGCAACAAGAAGCTGAGCCTCAGTGCAAGCTGCTCGGTAGCTAGCGACAAGGGAGCGCAAGTGTGTGGCTAGGTCAGAGACAGTCGCAAAAGAGCCGAGGTCGGGAAACACGAGCGGCATGAGGATGCGGCTGAGGGAGGCAGAGGAAGGGGTGGAATAGCGTGCAGAAATAGCATCATACACCTCCTTCGCAGTCTCTACCAGGTCGAAGTGAGCGGCCTCAGTCGGTGGAAGGAGCTCGGTCAGCGCGAGTGCAGCCGCAGCGTCACGGGAGTCCCAAACGTCCCGCGCCAAGACGAGACGAGCGTAGTCCGCCTGTGCCTCCGGAGTCGGGGGGGGCACGGCAGGGAGGGGCTCGGGACGCGGTGGTGCCTGGAGGGCGCCGGACGCGTGGGCGTACAGGGTGGCGCCGTCCTGGCGCTGACTGGTGAGATAGCGCTGAGTCTGGCGGAGCCAGGTGCCGATCTCTATCGGGCGCCCCTCTGCATCGAAACGAAGGCGGCGGGAGGAGTCCATATTGGACGCTAGGCTAGGAACAGCTGGAGCACGGAGCAAACGGAGCTAGGAGCGAGGAGCGCCAGGTGGGACTAGGCGAGGTACTGCTGGAGCACGGAGGAAAACTGAGCTAGGAACGCCAGTCTAGTAACGAACGGAGCTGGGAGTTAGCTGACCTAGGAGCACACGGCTGGAGGAGGCAGGGCTGACGAGCCGATCGAGGAGCCAGAGGGTCGTTCGAGGGGCTGGCGGAGCGAGGAGAGACCTAGCTAACAACGAACGTCAGGACTAGCCTAAACAGCTAAGCGGAGCGGCCTCCAGCCGCGACGGTGCGAAACACTGTGAGTATGAGTGACGCGAGTGTCGAACCAACGGAGGTCGGGTGGTCCTGGGTGGTGTGCGCGCGTGATAAGGGGATGCTGAGTCTGAGGGGACTGACGCTGGAGACCCTGGTTCTGCGGAGTCCACTCCGCCTCCCCACCGCCACGACACGCGTCTCCAGGCTGCCCGTCGGCGTGAGCGTGAGGAGCAGGAGCGGTTGGAGAGGGAGCGGCAGGAGCTGCGGGTGCTGGACCTTCTGGAGTAGCACTAGCTGGCGCCAGCTGCTGGCGGCTAGGTTCCGGTGGCTAGCTGCTGCTGGCGGCTAGCTTCTGCCTAGCCGTGCTGCTGCTGCAGGAGCACGCGCTGCTGCCTAGCCGTGCTGCTGCTGCAATGCACACGTTGCTGCCTAGCCGTGCTGCTACTGCAATGCACGCGCTGCTGCCTAGCCGTGCTGCTGCTGCAATGCACGCGCTGCTGCCTAGCCGTGCTGCTGCAGCAAAGCACGCGCTGCTGCTGCAATGCGCGTGCTGCAGTGGCGTGCGCGGCTGCCGCTGGCTAACGCGCGCGCTGCTGCGGGCTAAGAACGACTACGCGGGCCCGCGGGGGGGGGGGGGGGGAGAGTCCCTTCTGGAGCGCGACGAAACGAGGGGCCAGTGGGGCCTGTAAACGCGACGAAAAACGAGGCCCGCGGGGGCCCTTAAACGCGACGAAAACGAGGCCCACGGGGGCCCTTAAACGCGACGAAAACGAGGCCCGCGGGGGCCGTCCTACCCGTGACGAAACGGGGCCTAAGGGACGGGCGCCTCGGGACCGGCTAAGGGAGGGAGCGGAAGCGTGGGAGGGAGTAAATAACCTGCTCTGATACCATCTTAAGATAGGCTAGGAGACAAGAGTCGAGAGTAATGTTTGAGTAAGGAGAGACAAGGAGATACAAATGTCTACCTAAAGTGTTGTACCCTTTAGAGGGCAACTCACTGTAGCCTATCTAACAATATATAGAATATATAAACATTTGACATTGACCTTTCTGTGCTTCCCCGACGAGCCTGGCTTCACACATTTTGCTCCAGTGGCCCTCGTGTAGACTCTTGCATGCAGTCGGAATGCTGACCCGATCCTTCTGAGCACGCGCCGAACCCTGAATTTTTGGCCGCGAAACGTGGCGTCGCAGCGTTCCGCCCATAACTGATGGAACGTGATGGCTGTGAGCGTTCCTTCTGGAAAGTCCGACACTGTACCGGTCTCCATGAACAGGAGATCCCCAAGTGAGGCGGGAGCTCGCGAGGGGTTGAGCATGCGGAGGGCACGACGGAGCCCAGAAATCACGGGCTGAATTCTCGGGCAGTCGAAAAGGCAGTGCTCATGCGTCTCCTCCTCCCCACAATATGGGCACTTTGGTTTGCAGCTGAGGAAATCGACCCTCTCCCCAACCTGTAGGTTCAGGTTGTGTATGCGCGTGAGAACGTCACGTGGCCGGCTTGGGATGGCAAGCGAGTTCCGTGTGCGAATGATTCGCTGCCAGTCGATCTTGCCGCTCCAACGCTCAGCCCACTTCTCCTGCTTTGTCAGGATTGTAACAGGCTTGTCCCAAGCCTCCCTTAGCTGCTTCAGAGGGGCAAGTTTCCCGTTCTCAAAGATTGCTGACCGAAAAATCGAGGGCTCCGCTCTCCTCCCAATCCTGGGCGGGGCAACTCCATCCCCCCCCGTTCCCAGCTGTGCTGCAGCCGGGACAAGGAGCTCCTTCCAGTCAGGCGGAGCAGCTTCCCACGCCTTGAGGGCTAGCCGGGCCGAGTCCTTCCCTTCCAGCTCCTTTCCAAGGGTTTCCAGGTCCTTTACCGCCGGCGCGCCTGAGGAGTCATGGACAACTAAGTCCCCAAGACGCGTGTCCCAAAGTCCTTTTGCCGCCTGCTGACCTCCGACTGGGTGGGAGGTGGGTGAGGTGAAGGGGGAGGTGAGTGAGGTGAAGGGGGAGGTGAGTGAGGTGAAGGGGGAGGTGAGTGAGGTGAAGGGGGAGGTGAGTGAGGTGAAGGGGGAGGTGAGTGAGGTGAAGGGGGAGGTGAGTGAGGTGAAGGGGGAGGTGAGTGAGGTGAAGGAAGAGTTGGGTGAGGTGCAGCGGGAGGTGAGTGAGGTGAGAGGGGAGGTGAGTGAGGTGAAGGGGGAGGTGGGTGAGGTGAGGTGGGATGTGGCCGCACTGAAGAAGGAGATGGGTGAGGTGAAAGGGAAGCTGGGAGAGGTGAAGGGGGAGGTGGGTGTAAAGGGGGAGGCGGGTAATGTGGAGGGGGAGGTACGAGGGGTGAAGGGGGAGCTGGGAGGAAGCGGAATCTGGCTGCACTGAAGGGGAAGATGGTTGAGGTGAAGGAAGAGGTGGATGTTGTACAGAGGGAGATGGGTGAGCACAGCCACTCAACTTCGTTGCAGCTGGAGGAGCCTGAGAGTAGTCGAGCGGCGGAGCTGAGGGAGCTGCAAGGGCAGGTGGAGCAGCTGGAGAGGGAGCTGGCAGCAGTGAAGGGAGCTGTTCGCATGAAGTTGGATGCTGACCTGCAAATCAGCCAGGCATGGCAGGTGAGTGCTGAGGGAACTGTTTCACGGGGGATGCATATCTTGCTAGTTCTTCAAGTCACTGCCATCATCCGTTTCCTTGGCATATTTTCCCTCTTCACCCGCTTTCACCAGGCATTGAAGGTCCGCTTCAATCTGAAGAATATTCATGGTATCTCGGATGCCATGCTTGGCGATGTGTTAATGACCCGCTTTACGAGCATTAGCTTGCAGTGTTGCTCAGGCTTCACTGCAAAGGGCATCAAGCACCTTTACAGGCTGACATGGCTCGAGATGCTAAACCTCAAGAGCACAGACGTGTCAGACAGTGCCTTGGAAGGCATTGGGGCCATGACCCGTCTCAAGGGGCTCTATCTCTATCAGACCAAGGTGACTGATGCTGGGCTGGCGCACTTGACTGCTCTGTCCTTCCTCAAACTGCTGTGGCTTTCTGAATGCAAGGGTGTGACAAATGCGGGCATGGTGCATGTGGGGAAGCTGATAGGGCTGGAGACTCTTGCTCTGGGTGGCACGGCGGTCACGAATGAGGGGCTGCGGAAGCTGACTGCCCTGACCAAGCTGACATGGCTCGGGACGCCAGAAGGGGGACGCCTTGAGAAAAATGCTGTACGCATGCGGATATGCAGGTAGAGTGGCAGAGAGTGATGATGGAGAGGCGTGGAGGCAAGGGGGGTGAAGGAAGGATGTGGGGGTAGTGCTTGCGGAGGAGTGAGGCATGGAATGGTGGTTGTGCCCAGCTGCATGGTGGTTATGAATTACTAGTATATTGCAGCGAGTTGGCTTCCATGTGGAAGTTCTGCCTTGCACTTGGACAGAAAGAGGGGTAGGGCTGTGTGGGGAAGGGGTGAAGTGCAAGTGGGGAAGTTGAGCCTTTCGTGCATTGCTCATCTACACATAAAGGAGTGGCATAGGTGGGAGAATAGAGATTGGGAACATAGTAGTTTGTCGAGTTTGTACGGCACTTCTTTTATAACTTGCTCACCTTGTTCCAACTTACATGTTCTAGCCGTTCTTTTTATGAGCTTCATCAATATTTGCCAATCAAAGCCATATCACTTCTCCAAGGTGATAGATACTGTACAAGTGGCAGTTGCTTGCTGGAGGACCAAAGAACGATTGAAGTGTTACGGACAATTTGGAAATATACTGTTGGCTGGGGTGGAAGGGAGTATGACTGAGCACAACAGTGAAGCAGTGAGATGTGGATGTTGGAAACAACTGAGCTTAAGCGCCTCTGTCGTGTCGAAACACCAAGGCACAAGCGAAGCAAAGCATATCGAGGCACCAGCGAGTCAAACCTCGGAGATTGAAGTAACCGCTGGAGGTTACGCAAAAGTCAAAGGTCAGCGACCTTTGACCTGACAAGTACAGCGCGACAGCAAGGACACACAACTGACTCGCTACAGAGCAGTTGCCCGAGTCGTCACTGTATCGAACCGCAACAGCAACAGTAAAGTAGTTATAACTGTATCTCTTTGTATTCCTTGTACTCCTATATAATCTTGTATCTCCTTGCTTTAATCAATCTACTTTGCCCTCACATACTAGCGCAAGGTGGTTCACAATACTTCATTAAACGCTTCCGCTATTACATCAGTTCTACCCAGAGTTCATCCCTGCAAAGATCCTAAGGGCTTTTCTCAGCCCAACATGGTATGAGAGCTGTCAGGGAGAATTCAACTTCTATTAAGATACCGACAGCATCAACAAGCATGGCTACACAAAAGGAAAGGAGCTCCTCCAACGGCTCCCAAGGCACTACTCCTACTCCACCTCCGGCCTCTGGCCTACAGACACAGGAGGGTACGGCAACAAGACCCAGGGCAACATCCACCGAGACTCCTGCGATTCAACCTGCAGACTTCGACCAGAGCATGATGGAGAAATTCTTCTCCTTCATGTCCTTCTACGAGCAACATCAGCAATCGGCACCTGCGCAGTCACACAATAGCAACAACATCGGAGCAACTCCCATGAGTCTTGACGGCTCATCATACACACGAGGAAATCAACAGCAGCCGCCTACCTTTGCTCCGTACGAGCGCGGGTCCATCAGCTTTATGCCACACCCGCAGCCTTCACCTGGACAAGAAAAGTCACTGGACGCATTACAAGTTCAGTCGCAGTTCGCGCACGTTCTGAAGATGCAGACGTCAAAACCTTTCGACGGAAAGGATTTCTTCACCTGGTCGTTCGAATTCGAGATGATGATGGAAGGCGCGCAGATACTTGGCTTCTTCGACGGGTCCCTGCCATACCCAACGAACGGCACACAGTATGAGAAGCAGCAGTACACCTATCAGTCGATGATGGCGTACACGATTCTACTGAGGAACATTACCCCGACTCAACAGCAGAATATACGGTCTTACCGGGGTTACGGCAACTCCGCGGAGCTCGCATACAACCACTTGAAGACCCTGTATCAAGCAACAGACAGCGTAAATCAAAGTCGGTTAATGGCGCAACTGACAACGGTCGAAATGAAACCAGGCGAGAAAGGAATGGCGTATATCAGCCGATGTCGCGAGTTGCGCGACAAGCTTCTTCGATGCGGGGGGTCGATTTCTGAAGACGCCTTCGTGACAGTCATCATTGGCGGCCTCGGTCCTCAATGGCGCGCCACAAAGGCCATTCTCCGAGCCCACGGAAGAATCTCCGAAGCAGCACTCTGCGCCGAATCCATGCCGAGCAGCAAGACATGGACCTGCAAGAAGAACGACACAAGAAGAAGATATCAGCACCGGAATTTGCATTCCACACTCAGCGACGCTACAACAACTACAAACAACAACAACCGAAGCCCGTACCTCCATTCTGCCACATCTGCAAGACGTCAGGGCACCCGCGCACGCACTGCCCAAATCGACAACAGACAACTCCACCGCAACGGCAGCTTCGACCTTCAAGCAGCCAAGTGGCATCGACGCAGGCGAACCCCACGAGTCAGTCGCAACCGTCAACAACACCACCTGCACAAGGAGCAAGGAACATCGTCAGCTGCATGGCAAAATTGACCGATTCCTGCATCACCGAGTCACCGCCACACTACTCAACGGAAGAACAACTCGACAACACCACACCTCGCCGCGAGTCACTTCAACCGAATCCAACATACGCAGCCATCGCCCAGAGCGAGCCATCCGGGAAAGACACCTGGTTCTTGGACAGTTGCTGCGGACAACACATGTGCTCTTCAGGACGCTTCGTGCAGCAAGAATACCAACTCCAACGCGAAGTAGTCATCACCGTCGCCAACAACCAGAACCTGCGCACACGACGACAAGGAGTGGTTCAACTTCAGTCACGAGAAACAAACGTGATACTACAGATGTCAAAGGTTCTGATAGCAGAAGGACTTGGATATAACTTACTCAGCGTCAGCCAGCTGATGGCGAAGGGCATCCATCTCGAAGCAGACAACACCACTCAAGAATTCAAGCTGTACCACGGGAGAGGAGGCCTTTACATCGGAAAGGCGGTCCTGAAAAATAACGTCTTCGTTCTCGATTTTGTTCCAGATCTAGGCACAGCAGACAGCGACGGCATCGTCACCTTCACTTCCTGGACCCACCCTCCAGACCTTGATCCAGAATTCAGCCCCGGCGGCTTCTGGTATTCACACACCATCCCTGAGGCAGAAAGAACAAGGGCGTTAGCAACAATTCAGACAACATCAGCAGCAACAGAGACAACATCGACAGCAGCAGAGACAACATCGGCGGCAGCAGAGACAGCATCGGCAGCAGCAGAGACAACATCGACAGCAGCAGAGACAACATCGGTAGTAGCAGAAACAACAACGGCAGCAGCAGGAACGTCAACACCAATCGCTGGTCCTTCAACGGCGCCGCTCCTCGTCGACGACACACCACCGACACCCGCGCAACAACTACACCCAGCACCACGAGAAGTTCATCGAAGCGCCAACTTCACCGCCAGCTTCTACTCCAACTCCGACCTGTACCGACGATCACCCGGACATCGCACTGACGAAAGCACCTGGCACGCAAGGATGGGACACCCAAGCAACACAGTATTAAACAATACGATAAGAGCAGGAGTACTCGACAAGGACTCACTACTACTGACCGATGGAAGAGAACTTCAACGAGTACGTGGAACGTGCTTCACCTGCCCTGAAGCTGATTTACCGCATTGACCGTTCGCGTCTCACCATAACCCAAGCGCACCAGCTTACGCGCCACTCGAGAAGGTGTACAGCGACATCCTGTACAACCGCGAGCCGGGACAGAACGCGTACAATTACACCATCACGTTCATCGACGCTGCGACACGTTACGTTTGGCACTTGAATCTTCCAAGCAAGGATATGGCGTTCGAAGCATTCGTCGCCTGGCTCCCTGTAGCGGAAAGAGAATCGGGCGTCAAGCTAAAGAGTCTTCAGTCAGACGGAGGAGGAGAATACACCTCACAGAAGTTCAAGCAGTACTTGGCTGAAAGGGAAATCAAGCGGCTCATCTCCCTTCCCTACGCCCATCAACAGCAAGGTGTAGCAGAGAGGATGAACAGGACCCTCCAGAACAGCATGCGGAAACTGCTACGTGGCATGCTACCCAACCACCAGTGGCCCGAAGCAATGGACCACGCCGTCATGCTGCACAACTTGCTCTCGTCATCATCGCTCCCGAACAACGCATCACCGCACCTGCTGTGGACAGGAAAACTGGGCAGCACAAAAATGTTAAGGGTCTTCGGCTGCATGGTACAATACCGACCCCCATCTGCACGAGCCGGCCGATTCTCTCAACGAGCACAGTGGGGATTACACCTGGGCATCGAAAAACACTACAACGCATGGAAAATCTTCGACGTCGAGACAAAAGAAACAGTGGCAGCACGTGATGTCATTTTCTACGAACGACTCTCACTGCCGACGTACCTTGCCAACCTGGACGAAAACCGAGACCTCACAGGTGGCTTTCGTGGACACCGAGCCTCTGCTTCGGCAGAAGACGAAGCTGACTGGGACGAGCAGAACGTGGAAGGAGCCTCGGAAGAAGCCGGACCCCTCCCCTACTGCTCCGTCGACGTGCCAATGGACGACGAAAACCCACGCGAAAGCATCAACGCCGAAACCTACTACCATTTCGCTGACAACGGTTACATTACACCTGCACAAGTCAACACCGACGAAGCAGAACGCGTAGGACCCAACTTCGCACCTGATCCAGAAGCGGGAGACGAAGCTGTCTATCCCGTGGACATGTCACTCCCCCGTTACACACAGAGTGGACTCCAGATACTCGGGCTCGTCACCGCAGTCCACGGCACGGCCATTCCTAAGGAGCCTGCCACAGTTCAGCAGGCTCTGGGGGGGAGCATAAAGAAAAATGGCGCGAAGCCATGGACAGGGAATTAAAGGCACTAGAGGAGCGCAACACTTGGAAAGTCGTTCCCATCAGTGTGGCGCGGAACAAAACGATTCTCACCGGAAAGTGGGTTTTCCGAGTGAAAACAAAAGCAGACGGCACCATCGACAAATTCAAAGCACGCTGGGTCGTACGTGGCTTCGACCAAGAACGCGGACGCGACTTCACCGAGACATTCGCTCCGGTCAGCCGACATACCTCACTGCGAATCCTCCTCGCAATCGCCGCCATGAAGAAGAAGAAGTTGCGACAAATCGACGTCGCGAACGCTTTTCTCTACGCACCTGTCGACGCAGAGATCTTCGTTGAGTTACCGCACAGCTCCAATGGAGAGCCCAATCAAGTCTGTCAGCTGCTGAAGTCGCTCTACGGCATCAAGCAAGCTCCGCGGCTATGGCAACAATACCTGCACGCTCGCCTCATTCGCATCGGCTTCAAACATTTACCGCATGATCAGGGCATGTACCGGCTCACGAAGAACACCGACTACATCCTGTTAATCGTCTATGTAGACGATCTACTCTACATTGGCTCGACCGACGGCATCACAACCTGGTTCAAAGGGGAGCTGCAGAAGGACCTCACGCTCATGGTCTCAACTACCGTCACACAATACCTCGGTCTCAACATCCGAGAAGAGGAAGACGCAATCTACCTCAGTGCCGCGAAATACGCCGACACCATCGCCAAGCGCTTCGCACTCACACCGACCGCCATCTCCACACCGTACCGCTACACGACAGGAAACAGCAAGGGAAGCTCCGCTCTACTTAAGCCCGCCGGCATACGCGATTACCAGAGGAAACTGGGATGCCTCCTTTTCGCAGCCGTCACTTGTCGCCCAGACCTATCGTACTCTGCAAGTCAACTCGCCACCTACCTCAAGAAGCCTGAAGCAGAACATCTAGCTGAGCTCGACCGCGCTCTTCACTACCTAGTCAGCACCCCGACGATCGGTCTGACTTACTACAAGAACGCAACCACGCCGGCTACGTCGACTCCGATCACGTTGGCGATTCCGACAATAGGCGTTCTCGCACCGGCTACATCTACCGCCTCGAACCTATCGGACCTATCTCTTGGCAGTCGAGCAAGCAGGAATTAATCGCCCTCTCGTCAGCTGAAGCAGAATATATTGCACTCTGTTCAGCCACCAAGGAAGGACTTTACCTTCGCGAACTGCTGGAAGAAGCAAAACTCGCTCAGTTACCCAGCTTCACTCTGTTTTGTGACAACCAGTCGGCAATTCGCATCGCCAACAAGAACGGCTTCGCGAACAGGACGAAACACATTGCCCTACGATATTTCTTCGTGAAGGACGAGATCGAGAAAGGGAGGCTCGAGCTGTCATAGTGCCCCACGTCCGAAATGGCAGCTGACTATGCAGTTCGAGTACTGCATGCTGCTGACAGGACAGAGCCACGTCACCAGCAGCAACACTCCAGAAGCGAAGGGGAGTGTTGGAAACAACTGAGCTTAAGCGCCTCTGTCGTGTTGAAACACCAAGGCACAAGCGAAGCAAAGCATATCGAGGCACCAGCGAGTCAACCCTCGGAGGTTGAAGTAACCGCTGGAGGTTACGCGAAAGTCAAAGGTCAGCGACCTTTGACCTGACAAGTACAGCGCGAGAGCAAGGACACACAACTGACTCGCTGCAGAGCAGTTGCCCGAGTCGTCACTGTATCGAACCGCAACAGCAACAGTAAAGTAGTTATAACTGTATCTCTTCGTATTCCTTGTACTCCTATATAATCTTGTATCTCCTTGCTTTAATCAATCTACTTTGCCCTCACATACTAGCGCAAGGTGGTTCACAATACTTCATTAAACGCTTCTGCTATTACATCAGTTCTACCCAGAGTTCATTCTTGCAAAGATCCTAAGGGCTTTTCTCAGCCCAACAGTGGGCCTGTGTGTGCATTGAAGAAGGGCTGATGTGATGCATGCTGCCGTGCACTTGAGCGTCACAAATCACCTCTTCTGCACGCCTGAACGGACAAGATTCACATATTCCCTTTCTACTTTTGCCCCTCAACGCTTCTCGCACCACCGTCCTGTAGTACGAGCTATGAATGAAGCTTCTGTGAATGGCAGCAGGCTGCTGAGACAGTGAGAAGGGGTAAATTGCTGGTGCCGGGAGAAATGATCTCAAGTACCGGTAACACGGAGGAGCTGAAATGTCGCAGCTCTCTTGGAATGGTCTCAGTATGCGCTGCAGTGATCCGAACAGCTCGTTCAACTCTCCTCTAAGGTCATTGTGTCGCCAACACTCACCACGGCACATTGACATGCTTTAGAATGGCTGTTCTAAAATTTCAAACCAAACAGTACTAATCCAAAATGATCCACAGGGTACATGATAAACAGCGGCTTGCTACGACACAATCTGATGAGGGTACCAGTCGGTGGGCTGGGTGGCATGGGCGGAGGGCAGGAGTGAGGCAGGAAATAGTGGGCCAGTTCGTGTGCATGAGAAGGGGCAGATGTGATTATGTAATTCATGCTGCTGCGCACTTGAGATCCAACCCAACCACCCCTTCTTGTGATGGCCCTCCTGAACCTGAAGTGATTGCCCCATCATTGCTCGACAATTAACTTCAACATCGCATCCTTCTTTTGAGCCAGCTGCCACTTCACTGCTCCCTGTTCATTCCCCATCTGCGAGCAGGCATTGTTTCTACACATACGGCAGCACATGTGGAATGAGCAGACAGGAGGGTAGGGAGAGAAAATCAACGGGGCATTAGGATAATGAGAAGTTCAGGGATGGAAACCGAACACGATACCTCCAGCATACGTTTTTCACTTGTCATTTAGGGTTTCCACCTCTCAGCGTCCAATCATAGAACACTGATAAGCAGTTCTTATATGTAGCAACATGTCCCCTCACCCCAATACATGAAGGCAGTGTCGAGAAGGAAAGCCACGAACATGACCACTGCAGTCCTCCAAGGCATGGCTGACGGCGCAAGCTCAGGGGTGCGCCTGCACAGTGAGGTGCTGCAGGGTAAGTGTGATAAAAAGGGGCAGCCGGAGCAGCGGAAGGAGGGGCAGCTGCAAAAAAGGTGAGAAAAGTTCTGTACTGATTGCAAATGAGGGGACAGATAGAGCACATGTGGGGGCAAGACGGGTAGAGATGAGACTTGCGAGAAATCTTACACGAAACAACGAGATGGTGATAATCAGATTGTAAGGCAGAAGGGGGAGGAGACACGTAGCAAAAGCGGGGGTCCAGTGCCTCACCTTATTCACCTCATTTCTTACAACCCACCTTTTCTCCGTGACTGCTTCTGCCAGCTTCACCTTCACTTCCGCCACCTCCCCCTTCACATCCGCCATTTCCCCTTCACTTCCGCCACCTCCCCCTCACTTCCACCACCTCCCCCTTTACTTATGCCACCTCCCCCTCTACTTCCGCCACCCCCCTCTTCACTTCCGCCACCTCCCCCTTCACTTCCGCCACCTTCCCCTTCAATTCCACCACTTCCCCCTTAACTTCTGCCACCTCCCCCTTTACTTCCACCACCTCCCCCTTCACTTACACCACCTCCCGTTTCACTTCCGCCACCTTCCCCTTCACTTCCGCCACTTTTCCGTTCACTGCAGCCAGTTCCCCTCTCATTGCTGCCTCACGATGCTCATTCACCTCCCTGTCCACAGTCATCGTCTCAGAAGCGTTCAACCAATGTAAGCTTTTATCATGAAAGTGGTCAGGAGAAGGGGAACAATGAAGAGATACAAAGCAGAAGCAATTGGAATGCGAAATGCAAAAAGGCAAGGGGAAAATCGATGTGACAGAATATTTGATTATGTAAGGATGTCTATGTTAGGTTAATCACGTGATAGGTTAACCATAGAGCATTTGAACTACAGAATAGATAAGTCAACAAAAAGAAGGGTTAACCATGTAATAGGTTAACACGTGATAAGTCAGCCACGTGGATATGTTAACCACGTGATATGTTATCCACGGGTGATATGTTAACCACGTGATATTCTAACCACAGTATAGGTTTACCAGGGACCATGTTTACCTAGGATCACATATGAAATTTGGAGAGATGATCATCGCTTGATCAGTGGGTCAAAGCAACACTTGCTGTTCACATGGGCAGAGCTTTATTGGTGTGTAACACCACCCCGAGCACATTACTCATACAGCCTGTTTTTGTCGTACAGAGACCAAGAAAAATGAGTACGGAAGGAAGAAATTTCAGGAGAAGTGACGGAACAAGCAAACTAGGCTGCCAGGAATATCGTAGTCGTGGATTGGGAGTTTCAAAGGCCCTCAAAAACTGCCCTGGTTGGACCCAACCCAAGCGACAATAACCCGCATTTCACCAATCTCAACCAAGCATATTACATATGAAGGATAACAAGCTAGGGGAAACCTGTCTTCAAAAAAGCTAGGGGACATATGGGTGCTTATTGATTAGTTGCAAAGCCACATGCTCTTACAGTCGCTGGGGTGATGAAGATCAAACACATGAGATGCACATGCCACGTGCAACACCTCCAGGCTGCTCAATGTTCGGGAAGGGCCCACACAGTGCAAAAGAATGATGGAAAAAACTAGTAAGAAAAAGGAATAACGACACCATAAACTAAAACCAATCTTGTTCATCACCAAACTCAGGAACCACTAGCACAAGGTTCAAGATTTCGCGTTGCTCACACGCCAACACGACGCCTGATTTTGTTCTCTACTGTTTACTAGCCATCCTCGTTCATCGCTAGGCTACTTCCAGCGGGACTCAATGTCAAACATATATGTTGCATGTTGTGTAGGCTGTAGTGGGGTAGCCCATATGGGGTACAACCCAATTAGGGTTTGCTACTTGTACTCCTGCATGCTGCTAGTTTCATCATTCTCGCTTTCACTTTCTGACATGGTTTCAGAGCAGCTCCTGTCCCAGGACCGTTCTTTTTAGGGCCCACCGTATAGTTCGCTGCCCCTGTAGTGCGTTACCCTGTTCGTAGCGCCCTACCCTGCCCGTCGCGCTGCCCCACCAGTCGCGCTGCCCTGCCCTGCCCGCGCGCCGCCCTGCTGGCTGCCGCGCCGTCCTGCCCTGCCCGTGCGCCACCCTGCTGGCTGCAGCGCCGCCCTGCCCTGCCCTTCGCGCCGCCCTGCTGGCCGCACGCCTGCATGCCCTGCCCGTCGCGCCGCCCTGCTGGTTGTGTGCTGCCCTGCCCTGCCCGTCGCGCCGCCCTGCTAGCCGCACGACGCCCCGCCCTGCCCGTGCGTCGCCCTAGGACCCGCGCGACGCCCTGCCCTGCCCGTCGCGTCGCCCTAGGACCTGCGCGACGCCCTGCCCTACCCGTCGCGTCGCCCTAGGACCCGCGCGACGACCTGCCCTGCCCGTCGCGTCGCCCTAGGACCCGCGCGACGCCCTGCCCTGCCCGTCGCGTCGCCCTAGGACCCGCGCGACGCCCTGCCCTGCCCGTCGCGTCGCCCTAGGACCCGCGCGACGCCCTGCCCTGCCCGTCGCGTTGCCCTAGGACCCGCGCGACGTCCTGCCCTGCCCGTCGCATCGCCCTAGGGCCTGCGCGCCGCCCCTGCCCTGCCCGTCGCATCACCCTAGGGCCCGCACGCCACCGTTCCTGCCCGCGTGCGCTGCCTACGCGCGGCCTGCCGCGCGCCCGCCGCCTACGCGCGCCCTGCCCGCACGCGCACCGCCTAAGTGCGCCCTGCCCCCACGCGCGCTGCCTACGCGCGCCCTGCAGCCAGCGCGTCGCCCAGCATTGCATCCCGCACGCCTTGCAGCCCGCGCGCTACCCTGCACTGCAACTCGCACGCTCCGCAGCCCGCTCGCCCGCACCTGCCTCGCGCAGGTGCCCTGCATGCGTGACTGCACTCCCCTGCCCACGCGCCGCCCCTACTGCCGCGCGCAGCCCGTAGCAGCCTGCGCGCCGCCCTGCCTGGCCGCGCGCGGCCCCTACCCTGCCCGCGCCCTACGCGTGTTCCCTACCCGCGCACCGCCCCTGCGGTCGTGCACCGCCCGTAGCCGCCTGCGCGCCGCCCTGCCGGGTCGCGCGCCGCCCCTGCCTGTCCGCGCTCCGCCCCTGCATGCCCGTGCGCCACCTTCAGCAGCGTGCCGCCCTCCTCTGGCCGAGCGCTGCCCTTTCCTGCCCGTGCGCCACCCCTGCCTACCCCAGTGCTCGCTATGACTTCTCTTCGTGGTAGCAGTGGGAGTGGTGGCGGCGGTGGAGGCAGCAGTGGGACTGGTGGCGGCCGTCGTAGCAGTCGCTGTAGAGCTGTTCGGTGGGGAGTTTCTGGCGGTGGCCAGATGCAGCTACAGCGGCGTCCGCGTGAGACCCTTACACCCTAGCAGCTTCGTGAGTGGTTTGCTCAGCGTTGGCCGTCTCAGCGTAGTGGCAGTAGTGGCAGTCGCGGTGCAGCTATCCAGTTGGGAGTTTTTGGAGCTGACGTGCTGCAGCCGCAGCGGCATCCACGTGAGTCCCTTACACCCCAGCAGCTTTGTGAGTGGTTTGCTCAGCGTTGGGCGTCTCAGCGTAGTGGCAGTAGTGGCAGTCGCGGTGCAGCTATTCAGTTGGGAGTTTCTGAAGGTGGCCTGGTGCAGCTGCAGCAGCGTCCACATGAGACCCTTACGCCCCAGCAGCTGCGTGAGTGGTTAGCTCAGCGTTGGGCGTCTCAAAGTAGTGCTAAGGGTGACTGTTACCTGTGTGTGCCGCCCGACCCAGGTATAGAGGCTGCTGCTCTAGGTGCTAGTGAGTCTGCTCTCTCTGTTACTGCGCCTGGTAAGGCCTTGCACACCTTCACGCTTGACTCAGGTGTTTCCCGCTGTTTCTTTCGCGACAGTACCACAGTGACACCACTCCCTGCACCTGTTGCTGTCAGACTGGGTGACCCCTCAGGGGGCCTAGTTCTTGCCCGTTCTACCACTGTTCTCCCGTGTCTTGCGGTTCCGTCCGGCTCACTCTCAGGTCTTCACCTCCCCTCATTCTCTACGAACTTGGTCAGTACCGCAGCCCTCCAGGATGCGATGGTCACTACCACCACACCTGGGGGTCAGCGTGTGTTGATCTGCACGTGTACACGGACGGGCCGTCACCTGGCCACGTTCACCTGTCGGCCTAGGTCGAGTCTGTACACACTGACTACTCGGCCTCCTCAGGTAGCTGCGTCTGCGTCCGCGTGAGGTCCGGTAGGAGCCCCCTGCTTGTGTCACCACCGGTCGCACCAGACCCTCCTTTGGCACCACCGCCTTGGTCACCCCTCCCTCCCACGTCTCTGTAGCATGCACTCCCGCTTCATTGTCTCTGGCCTTCCTAGGTCTCTGCCTGCCTTCCTTGCTTTGCGGGGCGGCATCGCGCCGCTCTTCACTCCTTGTTTCCCCTGAAAAAGGCTCCCTTGCAGACTCTTCATATGGACGTGTGGGGCCCAGCCCGCGTCAGTGGACAGGGCCGCGTGCGATACTTCCTGCTGGTTGTTGACGACTACTCGCGTTACACCACGGTCTTCCCCTTGCGCAGCAAGGGGGAGGTCCCTGATGTCTTGATCCCTTGGATCCGCGCTGTCCGTCTCTAGCTTCGCGAGCGGTTCCACTCGGACCTTCCTGTCCTGCGTCTGCACTCTGACAGAGGTGGTGAGTTCGCCTTCGACCTCTTGCGGGACTTTTGTTGTGGGGAGGGCATCCGCCAGACGTTCACGCTTCCGGCCTCTCCGCAGCAAAATGGGATTGCTGAGCGCCGCATTGGCTTAGTCATGGAGGCCGCTCGTACCTCCATGATCCATGTGGCTGCCCCCCATTTTCTGTGGCCGTTTGCAGTCCAGTACTCTGCGCATCAGCTCGACCTCTGGCCCCGTGTCTCCTTGCCGGAGACCTCGCCCACACTGCGTTGGGCGGGGGAGGTTGGCGATGCATCCGTGTTCCGGGTCTGGGGATGTCGTCCCTTTGTCCACGATACTTCCGCGGACAAGCTCTCCTCCCACACCGTTCCTTGTGTCTTCCCTGGCTTTCCCCCTGACGCGCCTGGCTGGCAGTTTTACCACCCCACCACGCGCCGTGTCTTCTCCTCTTAGGACGTCACGTTTGACGAGTCAGTTCCCTTTTACCGTCTCTTCCCCTACCGCACTGGCCCTCTCCCCCCCCCCGCCGCTCTTCCTCGGTCCAGGTCCCCCCCCGGTAGACCCCCTCCCCCCTCAGGGTCCTGCTCCCTCAGGTGTGTCTCAGGTAGACCCCCCCCCCCCCGGTGGCAAAGCCTGTCGAGTCTTGAACGAATTTCGCGCATACATATCAAACTCCACGCCCCCATGCCCTCTCACACCTCCATTTCCACGCCCTCACCTTCTTGCTGCATGTCTGTGAACAAATCTATTCATACATAAAATCAACAACTTGCCATTTTGTCTATGAATAAGCTAGCCTCTGCTCGTGGCTCCACCTGTCGCCATGCTCACTGCCTGCACGCGCCTCTCCTAGCCCGTCTTGCATCCAACCTCGCACATCATAGAAAGTGATGTGATGCTCCCCAGCGCAGGCACTCACCGACGACATTCCTACCACCAGAGTGCTCTGCTGCGCTCGCGAATGCGAACGCGAGAGAACCATATCGTGATCAGTGATGGCCGAGTCTGGAGCGACTCGTGATGTCTGAGCGAGCAACGAAGACATGCAAGAAAATTTGTAGGTAGGCTAGGGTCGTTTTCCACAATGTACAGTTCTCACA